TGACAAGGTGGGAGATGAAGGAGGAGTTGTAACACTCATTGAACTCAAACTCCTTGGTGCAGATTTAGATTTGGTTAATCTGCTCGTATATTGAGTTGGTTGGGGTGTTTTTTCCTCTTCAGCGTCTTCTGCTGCTTGCACTTCTTGTGCAATAATTTCTCTCTGTACACCTTGTTTCTGCAAGTCAGAAAGCTGCAAAGAATTGAGTTAGTCAAATTTATTTATATAAACCATAAAATGCCAATGATAGTTACAAGAAGATACAAACTTGAAAATACAGGAATTTAAAAATATGTGACAATATTCATCCCTGCTTGTATATTTAAACAATAATGGACGACCCAGAAACCCATATTGGACGACCTGGAAACCCATATTGGACGACCCGGAAACCCATAATGGACGACCCGGAAACCCATAATGGACGACCCGGAAACCCATAATGGATGACCCGGAAACCAATAATGGACGACCTGGAAACCAATAATGGACGACCTGGAAACCCATAATGGACGACCCGGAAACCCATAATGGATGACCTGGAAACCCATAATGGACGACTTGGAAACCCATAATGGATGACCCGGAAACTCATAATAGATGACCCGGAAACCAATAATGGACGACCTGGAAACCCATAATGGACGACCCAGAAACCCATAATGGATGACCTGGAAACCCATAATGGACGACCTGGAAACCCATAATGGACGACCCGGAAACTCATAATGGACGACCTGGAAACCCATAATGGACGACCTGGAAACCCATAATGGACGACCCGGAAACCCATAATGGATGACCTGAAAACCCATAATGGACGACCTGGAAACCCATAATAGGCGAAAGCATGCCAGGCATCAACCGAGCACATGTATGTAGCACAAAGCTGCTAAGATATCAGTGGAACAATCATGGAACAGCTAAAAATTAGCTAATTATCATGCAAATCAGATGATTAATATGCATGGATTTCTACTAAAACCTAATCAAGTCTGCGCATTAGCGCAGATCATCTATGCATTATGTTCCATCAAAAACCAACATATAGTTCTGGAGATATCAGCGGAACGGACACACACACACACACACTGAAACTGAATTATATTGATATTAATATACATGTAAATTGCACCACACCCCCCCCCCCCCCCCTTTACTAAACCAAGGCTATGCAAACTTGACTTAAATTTGATTAAATATTAAAATAAATTATGAAAATAGTGAAGGACGTCGCAATGTAGGTCCTGTCGTCACAAGTTGGTGTAAAGTTAAATTGAAGTCATCACAATGTTGGTACACAGGCACACTAACTGCATGAAAAGACTCCCATTGTGTGCTTCAACACATGCATATGGAGCCATGAAAATAATAAGTCTGAGTGTAATCCATGTGAACAACATTCATGCCAAATTTCAATCTGACAAGCGATTGTGGAAAAAAAAAATTTTACCATAAATTACAAAAATATTGCCAAAAAAAAGAAGTTTACATGTGAACAAATGAACAAATCTGACAGATAACCATCCCAGGTAGGTGTGGTATGAATAGCAAGGCAATCCTGCTTACGGCTTTGCAGAAGATGTCGCTTGAATGAAAAAGGTTGACAGACGATGACAGGTGTGGTCAACCCATGAGCTCTGCTCAGTCATCTTTGATGACGTGATCAGCAGAAAAAAAAAC